ACGGAAGCTCGCGCCGTTCGAGCGGAGGGGCGGGAGAGCCGGTCAACGGGGTGGGAGAGGGAGAATACGGGAGGAGGAGAACCTGGTGTGGTTGGGGGAAGAGGACGTCGGAAAAAGGGGAAGGAGAGACAGGTAGGCAGCGGCGCGCGTACCGCGTGCTAGAAAATAGCCGCCTCCTTCTGCGGGGACGCGCTGATTTTCGCTAAGACCTGATCGTCTTCAGGTTCTTTTAATTCTTTACAGTTTGAGGTGATGGGCGTTAGATAGTCAACTTCCGCGCGGTTCGAGGCGACGATTCCTTTTAGCAACTTCTATCTTTGGAGTTGAGAAGCAGGAATATATATTTTTTAGCTCTTGGGGTTGATGCGATGATTTGGTTGAATATTTCTGTAGTATATGAAGTGTTTTTGAAGATACGAAGCATGATTATGGTGAAGGCAAGAGTTTAGAACTAGCTACAGTTTAAGAATGCAAAGTAAATATTAAAGTACTGTTTTGATTCACTATGACAGACGAATAGATGGACACGAATTTTTTTCGACGGCCACGTTTCTAGTTGTTTGTCGCATTGTGCTGCGGCGCTTACAACGTCGGGACGCCCACCACCTGTGGTACTCACCCTCCCTTCACTCCCGCCCCCACCCTTCGCGGCGAACCGCCCTACCACGCGCGCAACACCATCGCGCACACGCGCTGCATCGTCCTTTTGGAGCAGCTTCCCCTTTCAAGGCCTTCTCCGCTCTTCTCCGTTCCTCTCTTCGCGCTCGTCTCTCGTCGATCTTGTGCTCTTTCTCTCTGTCTCTCTCCTTCTACTCACGGCAAGTCGAATTTTTAAGCTCGTCATCGCGCCGCGAGCGCCAAATGCTCGTGGACATCATGCTCCACGTGGCGACGCCTGCGCCCAGAACAGACTTGCTCGTCTTAACAGGTTTGCTGCCGGTATTTGCGAATAGAAAATTTAGTGCATATGTGGTTCTTGTGTTTGGATTGACGTAGAGTTTTGCATTTTGTGGATGGAATAAGTGTGTTGTGATAAACAGAGAAAAGTTTGAATAAGACGGTATGTTCAAAGGTGGTAGAAAATAGTCAGATATAAGATAACACTTTGGTGAAGATTGATTTAACGCATTGAAAAGGCTGAGTTCGTACGTCATTAGGAAATATGACGAGATTGTCTGATTAGTCTAAAATATATTTCTATATTTTTTAACCAGTTTGGAGTAAATTTTGTATAGTTATTCCTTATGATGATATGGAAAACTTATTGACATTTCTTAATTTTAAGTTGACGTTTTTCTTAAAAAAGAGCAGGAAATATTATTGCTCAGATTAATGTTAAAATAGACAAACGTTAGACGAATTAAAGGAGATATTTTCCTAAAGCTTCTAATAGTGAAAAGTTGTTTTGTAATTTCGAGGAATATCGAATTTTGGAATGAATCTAATATCCTTGCAATACCTGCTATATTGTTCATGTGTTTGTTTATTATGAATTATTTTTGTTTACCCTGAGGTTCACAAATATTAACAGTGGTGCAGTATTAGTAATTTTCAGTAATAACGCGATGCTACCTGATAGTTTAAATGGAACGCAGATAGCATTGAATGCTCGATGTTTGTACAAGTAGAAATAGCGAATGATGGACAGACGCATTAGCTAGTCTGATTCGAAAGCATACTTGCCTAATGAATTTTCAAATTCCATTTTCTTAAAACTGAATACTCATATTCAACCAAGTTCAATTCAACTTCCGAGACAGTTTTATACCAAATTATTTTTGTGGATATTCCTGTATAGTTTATATTACTGAGAGTAAAAGAAAATACTCAATCGCGCTTACTCTTTCAAATTATAATCCTTTTTTATTGAAAATGAAGTACTCTCTAGTTGGAAATTATAAAGCACTCTTTTATCCTTAAAAAAAACCTCTTTCCATTAAATATGATATAATGTACGTTGAAATATGTGTATATAAATAATTTCATATTTTAAGTAGTGAAGGATACTTCTACTTTAATAAGCAGCAGTTCATTACACAGGAATACATTTCTTTCTCAAAAAATATCCACACATATATCTAAAAGAATGTATTAACAATACACTAACAAAATTAAAATATACTACTGAATAAGAATATACGATAATTAACAACTCACAACAATTCCTGTAAATGCCCGTACATTTACACAAGCACACGAATGTAAAAAATCAGTTCTACATAAATACAAATACTAAAACACATTTATCTCAATTATATTTCCACTCATTCATCATCTCACAGTCACTAGAATCGCTCCTAGACAGCACATCCCTAATCACGAATACCGGAAGCACTATCGAATATTCCATTTAATTCCAAACGCAAACACCACCGCGCCACTATCATTACCCGCTACCATACCGGGACAGTCTCGCAACATTTCACGAGGTATACCGCGCGCCGCCGCGGTGGGTTCATGAAAAAATCCAGCGTCTGGTAAGCTTCTCGTTTCTTAACGGGTGGATAGAGGAAGCGGGCACGGCGCAGCGCCGGTCCGCCGTAAATATGGATTAAGGGAAATTCACCGGTGTAATCTTACTAATGATCCTGGAAAAACAAATTCGTTCGACGCGCGTCGGTTCTGCTAATTGTCAACACGCCTGCGGAATTCAGTTGCGCAAACAATTCACCGCTGGGAAATGATCCCGAGACCGAGCTTCTGCTTCTTCCCTGCCGCGGGTTTCGACGCTGTTCTCCCTCCGATCGTTACCATTTTAATATACGGCTCGTTACTGCCTCACCTGTCTTCGGTGTTACTTTACGCTCGCGTAATACCCCGTCCCAGAGCCGAACGGACACCGTCTCCCTCTTTCTATCTTCTCCTCTCTCTGTCTCTTCCAGCGCACGCCTCCGCGCGCACTGCTGTCTCTGCAGCGGCATTCTGAATCACGACCTACTTACTCGGGATTGTCCGTACTCGGATGGAAAATAATTCTAATTTAATTGCCCCTCATGGAGTTTGCCGAGTCCCCGCTCGACACCGGAATAGGAATAATATTAATTTATTAAGTTCACGTTGAACATTCTTTGATAGAAGTCAAAGGGGATTCATTTGAAAAATTGTCTGCAGCGAGAGTCATCTTCCTCTTTGATCGGTGAGAAGGGAAGCTCGAGGATGATTTGAGAATGATAGTACGAAGTTGGTTCACTGTTGGAGAAGTTTGTGAATTGATTCGATTTGTTCCTTTGAGGTATTAATATTTGGAATAGAGCTTCGGTTGTGCTTTAAGAGCTAAAGTTCTTTGGTTGCTAATTAATTTTATTATGAAGATAGTTGTAATGGATTTATGGACTGATAAAAAGAATATAGATGTCCTTTTGTTTGCTGTTTCTAAATGGAATTTTAAAGATGATTTGAAAATGGAGAAACTAGATTAGATCATTATTGAAGTTTGTGGGTTTAGATTTGATTGTTTTTCTATTCATAAGGTTTTCATGTTTAATTAATTATTTATGACAGAATATAAAGTATGTCAGACGGTTTTAGAGAATTTCCGTTGTCCCTTCAATAGTAAATTTCTTCAGTCACTAATAAAGTGGAATAATAATAATTGTTATGGATTTCTTATCGTTCGTCGTTCGAAAGGAAGGATATTATCTGGAGACAAGCTACGCGTAGGTGTTTTATGACTACGGATCATAATTGAACGAGTAAAGTGGACGCAGTAAAGATGAAATGCAGATACCGGTAACGTTTAAAGTTATGTTCTGTTATTATACGCGATTAGGAAGATACATATTCATCATTCCGGATTTACGGGTATAAGTGAAATGAATTCTGGAAATGAAATAGCGCTATTTGTGTTATCGATGAATTCGAAGCCAGCACGCTGAGAAACTCAAATGAATTCATGAGAAGTCTAATCAACTTTTCTCTCATCTCGTGGAATAAAATAAAAAGATGGAAACTTGATTTATTTAGTTGCTCATACTAAAATATATCAAAAGTTAGTAGCTCGAATGATTGAGTATCATAACCTAACTTGTTATTTCTGTATATCTATATTGCTTCGCAATCAAAATATTTTTCTAAATGTCGAACAAATTACGCGTTTCACATATAATAAACGCTAGAATAAAATACAACAAAATTTCCACTTTCTTCGAATCTCAAAGAAAATCACTGAACTTCGATTTCATTTTAATTTATCAATTTAACCTCCAAAACTCTATACCTTCTACGAATGATCACAATCTACTTAATGTGGCATTCAAATTTGTTGATATTAAACTTCCGCTTCCACAAACTCATATTCTACATTTTAATTGCCTTACCTTAACCATTCCTGCTCAACATTCGTAAGAATTAATCAGCAGAAACAAAACATTAAAGAAAGAAACATAAATTTGCATCATCAGATTATAAAACGATTATTTAGATATAGATTATAGATTACATAACGACATACACCGTTGCAAGCATACCTACCAATTAACATTCCAATCGATTATCAATTCATCCTACGCACAAACACTAGTTTTAAAGCTTCTTTGGTCCATTAAACTAAACGCGCACGCTGCCAACGCGCGGGGCTCGCTTAAAGGGAGCCTACAGCAGCGGAGTCTCTTCCGGCCGGGCCATATCGGTATTCCA